GAAAATATTTGTGCAACCGTCTAGACACCTATACTAAAGAAAGTTAACTTTTCGATGACTAATAGCTAAGTTTTGTGCCCTGGAGAGCCCAACTAATGAAGTACATAAATACTTGTTTTCTTTCCCTTTTGATCATAAGGACAACATGATTGCTTCTCGATTAGTATATAGATAAACTGTAAATGGTACTTTAGTAATCGGGCTTGCTAGAGTCGACAACTCTAAAAGACATTACTTTAAATTTTGGAAAGCTTTTTTTTCGTTTCCTTAGTCCATGGAATATCACCCTTTCCCATATGTGCCTTTAGGGCATAAAAGAATGGCATCGATTGCTCTTTTGACTTCACCAAGAACCAACCTAGGGTAGCCAACTTTTTGTTCAAACTTTGGATGTCTTTTATGGTTCGTGGCAATTTGGTGTTTAGTAAGGCCCGGACCTTCTCCACGTTTGCTTTAATCCCCGTGGCAGTTACAATGTGTCCCAGAAACCTTCCATTTTGTGCTCGGAAGATGTATTTCTTCGGATTAAGCTTCATATTTTTTTTCTCATATAAATTAATGTTTCATCTACACCTGCTAAAAAACCAAGGTCTTATTTACTCCTTATCACCATACCATCCACATATACCTCCATATTCTCCCAATTTGTTTCTCGGACACCTTATCCACCAAACGGGTGTGCGTCACACCAAAATTCCTTAAATCGAAATGTATTTTGGTATTGCATGACCTCCCCTTCTCGGTATGAAAGGTTGTTTTTCTCTCGAAGATGCAACAGTTGCAACCGGAGGGGACAACTTTTCTATTTGATTTAGTTATCCGGTCGTTCGGTCTTCTTTAGTGAGGGTGTATGCGTTATGTGCCATATACCCTATTAACCAACAAAACCAATGTTGACTTCACTAATCAAGATATCAAAGGAAAAGGTTAATGTGTATTTTTTTTCCCTCAATCGCTTTAACAATGTCATGTATACTATCTAAGTTACCAAATCCTTCAGTTTGATGCATATGATCAGGGTAAATAGAAAGTTCACATAGAATATCCATCTTATCTTTATAACTAAATCATTTGGACATAAATCAATCAACTTTCACAGTTTTGAAGGGTCAATATCACAAAATAAGTCATGTTGATTCAAACTCGTCATACATACATATAACCAATTTGGAACTTACTTCACTAAGTCGATCAGTGAACTCTTGAATTTGCATATTCAAAATTATGTTAAAATAAAAAAATCTCATAATAGCGTTAACCGGGGATATGAACATGTTGTCTTCTATTTATTGGATTAACATAATTGTCCTCCATGTTTAACATTTGAATGTCATTATTTTCACAAAAAAGAAATGTGACATCTAACATAAGTGCATCAAACTCATTAATTCTCATAATTTTTCAACATCAACTACAAATGGTACACAAAATCAAATGATATAAATTATTTTCGAAGACCACTTGCTTGATGTTGACTAAAACTATCAAGGCTTTCATCTTCAAGATATTCCAATGTGTATCTCCGTCTTTTGTAACATAAAGTTCTTGGTTTAATCCACTTTCAGTTTCAATTTCACCACGACATATCGCTTCTTCTAGTTTCTTATTTTGACTTTCGTGTATCATATCGCTTCGTTTACTCTCCACGGAAAGATAGCAATGGCCGACTAAATTATGCTGGTGAGAAACAAATGGGAAAAAATTAGGGTTTCTTGAATGATAAGAGGTTTGTGAGTTGTGAAAAAGATTTTTGTAGGTTTTTGAAAGTATGTTGTCATGCCAAGCTATGCCATCCAACAAAACTAGTAAGCTGAATGGAACTAGCTAAAAATGAAAAACATGATAAATGGCATTTATTTGAAAAACCTTTGCAAAGTTTTGATATTACACACATAAATCTCATTTAGTTCAAACCTTTCATTTTCTATTAAACTTAAAGGATTTTTATGTAATTTTCTCAAGAGATAAATATGTGTTTAGTACTATTTCGCCACATTAATTTTCTTAGCCGTTGGAAAATAGGTTTTGCCCAAAAGAAGGAAACACGTATAAAACTTTTGCGACTCGGCGGTGTATTGTCGCCGGCTGCCATTGAAGAACATACCTTCTTCACCACTCCGCTGCTCAATCGGCCATTTTTTAGATAGAGGATGCAAGAAAAAGTATCTGAGGAAGAGATGGTGACACCAGGAGAAGTACTGGGGAAAGGAAGCGAAGTGAAAGCAGGGAAGGGAGCATACTTGTCACATCACAATAACACCGTCTACGCCTCCCTCACCGGCCGCCGTTCCCTCTCCGCCGCGTCACCTGAATCTCCAGACCAGGTTATACACATGTACACATCTACATATCAAATAATATCATGGTGCTTAATTAGAATACTACCTCGCCTGCCTTAAATTCACCTACTTCAATCATCAAAATTGATGCAATTTCTCTATGATCTAGATGAAGTTTGAAAGGGTATTGTGAATTTGATGACAACTTAATGGTTGTCCTAAATTTAAATAAGTTTACCTCAAATGTTTAGGGCACAATTTAGTTTTTAGCATTAGAAAGAGTAGATACATAACTTGTGCACTTGTTAGGATCCAAATCTGATACAAATCTTAGAGGTGTTGAATTTAATATTCATTTGATTATGGTCGGATAGCTTGGTAATTGTCACTTACTCCAAATTTGATACAAGTTTTAGAGGTGTTGAATTAATACAAACCCCTTTGTTTACATGTAAGATTATACAAGTGGCATAATATGTAAAATAATGAAGCTCAAGGTGTAGTTCAAGTTTCAAACATATTAAGCTTGTTTTTGTCTCGGAAGTTGATATAAATAATAAGGCGCTATTTCTTTTTGACTTAACGATCTTAATGGGTTAAGCACTTATTCTAGACAGCTATATATGACTGATTCTTTTGTACTTGATATGAACAAAATGACTTAATGGGTTAAGCCAAAAAACAGTCATTTGTTATTTATCATCATTTGGTCATTAGATTCACATTCAGACAGTTCATTCAGTCCAAAAAAGAAACAGTCTTTATGTATACAGCACTTTTGTTTAACCACTTTATTCATACAGGGAGCCATATGAAATTATATGCTTCTTTTACTTTTCTTCTTATTTATTTATATAGCTATTTTTTTTTCAGAGGCCAACTGTGGAAGTGATTGGACACAAAGCCCATGGTCCTGTTCCTGAGCCAGGTTGTGTTGTCATCGCTCGAGTAAGATTCATTACTTTTTGTTTTTTTTAATCAAAATTCAAAAAATTGTTATCTTTTAATTTATTATCCTTTTTCATCTTTATATTTCTGTCGATATTAAAATTGATGTGGTTAAAAACTTAAAATAGGTAACTAAGGTGAGTGCTAGGATGGCTTCAGCAGATATAATGTGTGTTAGCTCCAAATCTGTACGAGAAAAATTCTCTGGAATCATCAGGTAATTCAATATTTTAATTTTGTCAATAGCATTTTGCTTTCATTTTTAATTTTTTTTTTTAAATTATTATTATGGTGATATGATTATGAGAACAGACAACAAGATGTGAGAGCAACCGAGATTGACAAAGTAGACATGCATTTATCCTTTCGCCCTGGTGACATTGTCAAAGCTTTGGTTGTATCCTTTGTTTATAAATTCTCTACAACTAAGTATTTATATAATTTTTTAGCAATAAACATTTGTAGCCTTTAACAAAAATTTCATGAAAAAGCTTTCTCTAGGGGATGCACGAGCATATTATCTTTCAACTGCACAAAATGAATTGGGAGTTGTATCTGCAGAAAGTATGGCAGGTAAGAAATAGCAACTACTTTTATTTATTTGTGTATTATATTATTATATTTTCTTATGTATTTTTGAGATTGGTTTTGTTTATAGGTGGCACAATGGTTCCGATTAGTTGGACTGAGATGCAGTGTCCGTTGACTGGTCAAATTGAGCAGAGGAAGGTGGCTAAAGTTGGGGCTTAAATATTTGATTTAAGTTCTTTTGAGGATTGAGATCTATGTATCTGTGTTTTTAGTCTTTTTTATGGTATGAATTTTCATATTATAAAGTAGAATTTTAAGCCAAGTTTTGGGTACCCTTTTTCATGATTCATGTTTGAGTAAAAATTAAAATTAGTTTGGTTAGAATTTCCTTTTTATCCTGTTTGAAATTTTTTGTTGTTAATTCTTCTATACGAAAAAAAGAAAAAGATAATTGGAGTTGTGGATGATTTTTTTTTTCAGAACTTTAATATAAATAATGTATTAAATATACTATCGTAATTAATAGATAAAAAGATGGGTTAATGACTTATTTATGGAATGAACTTATATGTTTTTAATCTAAATATGCAATGAGATGGCTTCTTACATTTTTCTACAGTTATGTTTCAATTTGTTGCAAAAACTTGTAATGGATCCATAGTGTCACACAAATTGGTAAATATAATAGTAGTATTATGCTAATCTCTAGTTCGTTCATACTTAGAATATTAATTCAATATAATAACTTCTAAAAAATGTATTTTGTCAACCTTATCCATCTTTTGAATATAAACTAGATGGGGAACCCCCGCGTTGCGGGGGTCGGATACTACAGTTTTTTCCGTTGTTTGTTCTTTGTAAATGTTATTTCATCAGCTATTTGTTTATTTGATCAATCAGATATACCCTTTGATACTTATACATGTAGAAACAGTAAGGAGATGTCCAAAATGTAGGTGAGTCATCCGCATTCTCTGCTTCTGCTTGTGTTTCTGTTTCCACATCCTTTACACCATTGTCACTATTAACCTCATTAGGAGACTGAACACGAACAACATTTTGTTCTACCCGCCCTTCTTGTTGTTGGGGTTGCAATGGAGGTTGTTATTTCTGATGTGGCTGTTGTGGCTGTGAGAGAAGTGATGCTTGTGGCCAAGCTATAAATTGAATGTAATAGAAAGAGAAAGTAAAATGATCATCAAAATGGAAGAAATTTTGTAAATTGATTAACAAAATACCCACCAAAGCAACTTCGGGCTTTGTATTGGGAAATTAATGTATGCTATAGCTGAGTACCTCCACCAATATGTCTACTCATTAAAGCGGCAACAATTCTTCGTTCTTCTTGGCCAACTGGTTGCATTAGAAGTTTGTGTATTGGTCCAAGCATCTAATCAAACGCCTAATGTGCATAAAAAAACACATAATTTAATGACAAAATATTAAGAAGTCTAGGAAAAAGTCATGCAAAAAGGTAGATTTGTACATAAAATGTTCCAAATTGAAGGATCACATGTACATGAAACTAAAATGATGGTAAAAGAAAGAAGAGTTACCTATGAAAAGTACCCTGCTAGTAATTTCTCAGAAAAAAAAAAAAAAAAAAACCCTTTTTCTTTACTAACAATCTTATGAACACTTAATTTGACAGTAAACCCCTGTCAGCTCTTTAAAACCACCTTTAAACCACATGTTCTTATCTAAACATTCCTGTATTACCAAGAAATAAACATAAAGTATATTAGTTTTCCCTGATGTATGATAATAGAGTTAAGCTTCAGAAATATATGATAAAGATTCTGACATTTGATGAAAGAAATGCATATTGATATTAATAACTTTAACGAACCTCGCATGGCTATCTGAAGTTGCAGACAATGGACACCATTGGCCATCCCCACACTCATGCATTTCACAAAGAAATACAAGGCAATCAGATATCCTTTCATTAAATTTGTCACAACTCATAATCACATCAGACTGTTTCAGTCCAATGCAATAAATGCAGTCTTAATCTCAGACACAATTGGCTTAATCTCAACAGCTCTGTTTAATCTGTTGGACATATAATGACCTATTTTCCCTTCAAACTTAATGAATATTGTTAAAAAGATTTATTGGAAAGCAAGGGTAAAATGGGCATTTAGTCTTGTTGGTAACATTTTATCCAGATCGACATAATTACCCATTCAGCCACTCTACAGGAAGGACTTAATGCCCCAAGTAACATAGGGGTAGAAAAGGAATTTACCATTTTTTTTCCAAATACCAGGGGCCTTACGGAGAGTACCATCTCCACTGCATGGAACATCACAGAGCACACGATCAAATAAAAGTTCAGTCATACTCATACCCCCCAAATCAGAACCATTTGTGGTATTATTCTTTTTCCAGCGACAACTCGGGAAATGTTGTGCTTCGTGAGTCGTCACAGCCAAGTTAGAAGTGCACATTCTCTTTGTTTGGTGAATAAGAAGATTGCTTCGTTGTACATCCACATCATGTGCTATAACCTAATGAATCCATCAAAAATCATTCACTTTCATAATCATATCCTTTTCCATATACAAACATTAAAAAAAGATAATTGAAGCTTACAAACTCATATGTGTAAGATACTATAAGCAGGAGAACTTACCAATAGGCTTTACCTGTAATGATAAATAAGTATGGATCATTAGCGTCCGGTTACCATAACTGTAAGAATTTGATGGCTTTAGAAGAAAATAACTTCTTACTTTTAAGAATCTGAAGACAATTATGCAATAAAAAACTTATAGTGTGGTGGTTTTCGAATTTTACCCTTTGCCAAATTCCCCTAACTGAAATCGATTGACCACCATATGAATTGAAGTCCCTACTTTGAATCTAAACCAACGGTTACTCGTGTGCAACAACAACCAGCCATGTGTGTGATATAATTCATAATATGAACAACTAAAAAATAATATTAAGATGCAAGCAATATTGAATACCATAGAAAGGCAACAAAGAATAAGAGCTTAGTTTTTCCTGCACTGGTTTGCGTAGTGGTGTTGTCATTGTACATTTGTACAATGTGCATATTAAACATACAATAATTTGCATACACTTCCAGGAATCTTCAAGAAAATGGACGTTAAAGTTACTAATTTTCTAGTATATACCTTAATAAAGAGGATCTATTGATAGATCCCTTTTCTTCTCGTGAGCAAGTTTTTAGTCTTTTCGTTCGGTCTTTCTACAAGCTAGTCAACAAAAGTAAGTAATCAATTAGCAAAATTCTTGCAGACCGCTGATATGCCAACTAAAACTGTAAATAGAAACATAAATTGGTCGCATACCTTAGTCGATTGCCTTTCGCTGCCTTCCTTGCTCGATATCTATGGTGGGGCCAGAAGGTGCCTTCCCTACGACTTGCTTTCCATTGATCGAAGGAAGCAAAAGAGTGAAATAGGAGGGGTATGGTTTAGTATTGATAATAACAAAAAAATGCATAAATCAAACACAAATTAACTTAAATAAGTTAGGATTACAGCTCCAAAAATACACTTACGGTGTTTGTAGTCTAGTGAGTTTACCAATGCTAGGAGATATAAACCCCTCAAGCTCCATGTATCACAAGTTTCTGAAACAAATCACAAAACGAAAATCAAGTGTTAGAACTTAGAATTGTATGCAATCTGTTCCAAAATTAGGTTTTTCTGTCACTCTATTAATGTTGGGACCTATGTTTCGAACCTGGAGTTGGGACCTATGTTTCGAACCTGGAGCTTAGTTGACATATTAATCGACCTATTGGTCTTATTGGCCGTATACCCTTTGCACAACATTAATATGTTATATATTTAACTTTTAGACCTTCATTCCCTCTGACACCATTCAATAGGCTTGACTTTACAGCTTCTTCTTGCTTGAGCTGAGCACCTAAGCCAATCATTCACTTACTTATTCATAGATTTTTTTGGAATCTCCATCTCCTCGTCACACTTGTCAATCATGCCTTTTTCATTGCGAAAAAAAAGGGTCCATCCTTTTTTTTTTTTTTTTTTTTTTGCAACATGCTCATCATATTTACGGATTTACATACCTCGGACCCTACTTAGTTGACTAACAATGACAAGTGATTGATTAACAAGTGCGACAAAAAGATAGAAATTCTAGAAAATTCTACGAATAAATAAGTGAAGGCTTGGCTCACATGCTCATCTCAATCAAGTCGAAGATATAAAATCAAGTCTATTAAATTGAATGGTGTTAGAGGGAGTTGTAGTCTAAAAGTTAGAAGATAACATTTTTGCAAAGTGTACGCTACCAGAAGACGTTTTTTTTTCTTTTTCTTCTCTGTAGGAGTAGTTGTAATCTAGCAATTTGATTGTACCCAGATCGACAATGGCAATGAATGCCAGTGTGTCTCTATGGGTTTATATCTATATTTCCAGCTGATGGAATGTTTAGTAGAGTTATAGCCCTAATTTGTTTCATTTAAGGGGTTATATGAAGAGGAATAACATATATGTTAATTAATATGTCAACTAAGCATTAAATATGCAACTTTAAAAACAAGCTGCTATAAGGTGTGATTTGAACAAAATGTATACTTTGATGGTATTGCCTTACTTCATTGATATTTTTTTTTACTAACCAAACTTTAATAATGTTTTTTGAATAAATTTTAAAGTTAGTTACCTCCATAAGACATTCTCTCGTTAGGGTAATATTAACAAAATGTGTATTTAGATGGTATTTTGTGTATAAAGTCCTTAATTCACTAGTATATTTTATGCCGACTAAACTTGAATGATATTTTTTGAATAATTTTAAAATTTGATTACTAAATCATTTTAATTGGTGCCACATCAACATTTTAACATGTTCCCAAGTTAAAAATCAAACTTTAAAGGTAAAAGGTAAAATTCGTTGTGTTGCATTGAAATATTTTTTCATGAACATTTATATCAAATAGATTTTAACATTTTTTTAAAAGTATTTTATAGCTATTTTATGATTTTAACATTTATATCACATAGAGACCAAAATCAATAACTTAAAATTTATTTATGGCAAGGGAAAATGACTTGAGATGGTAAGTTACTTTTTGAAATGTACACATTTCGTCTTTATTCTTTTTTTTTTTGTAAATTAAGCCCTTATATTTTATTAATATGTACACAATAGATCCTTTTGATCGGCTTCTATCGGTTCTGCTGATGTGGAAGCACACGTGGCACTAACAACAACTGCATAAAAATTAATTAGTTTAGTCACTCCTTATAAACGAATGTTAACATCCAAAATCAGGAAGAATCACCTTCAAACTCGAGCACATAGAAGTGGGGAATTTGTCACACCCCCGAACTAGACGGCGGAAACGTCCGGGGTTTGTGCGTGACTTCATCTTGAAATATCATTACGGTGAATATAATTGAAACATAACATCATCATCACACATGTAATACAATAACATTCATTGTTTACATCGAGTATTGTATTTGAATATTACATGCCAAAATAGTAAGAGTATGATGAAACAAAATATAACACAATATCCATTAGTTTGTTTCGTTCATCCTGCTTCAACGGTTTCCTGAGAATACAAGTTATTTTGAAAACGGTCAACATAAAAATGTTGGTGAGTTCATAAGCATGTTTGTGAAAATGATTTGTATAACTTTGAAAATCACCAGAAAATCTGATATTTTCTGAAAATCGTTTAGTGTGTTTGTGTTAGATCTTGTATTAATGCATGTATGTTATTGTTTATTTAACTAAAAAGGTAAAAAGAATGTAGACAGAATGTAAGAGCATGTAAAGAGAATGTTCCCAGACAACCCGACGTTGTCTGTAAAAAAAATGGTCTTTCGTAAACTTCATAACATTAATTCCTCTAAGCAATTCGTCATAACCATACTAAATAATGATAATTTCACCTGTATTGGGGTCGTTGGACGCCGGTTTTGACTTTGATTATAAGGTTTTCATCACCCTAGACTGAGTTAGTCTAACTGTAGCGAACAGCTCAGGTGTAGGGTGTCATCCACATATAGATCTATACACAAATCCCCGTTCTCCCTCCAAGAGACTCTGGTTATAACTACATGCAACGATCGTACACTTAATAGGTGCCAACCGACAAAACTCACTAGATCGTTAATCGAATTTACGCGAAGAAAAAGGTATAAACTCCTTCCAGGCCCAATGATCTATGTAAGTGAACCACTAAAACATCGCTAAACATGTTAAATCATTTCAAAACCCAATTGGAATGAGATTATATAACATGGGCCCGAAATATATATGAAAGGACAACTAAGGGCCATTTCACATGTAAAGTATTTACATGCCTAAATGGCACACAAATAGTATCCAAGGTCCGTCGCACATGTTAATGGGTCAATGAGGCCCAATAAACCTATACATGACCTCTCACACATAAAAATGGGCCACTAAGGCCCAATAACTGAGAAAATGATCAAATTAAATCTATTTGTTGGTTTATCATTGGTTTTAGCTCAAGTATTCACTAAAATAGCATAAAAAGAAGAATGCATATAAAACTCATTCCCAGACCCAATAAACATGTAAGTGGACCACTAAGGCCCACTATACGTGTCTATTATTTCCAGGCTCAAAAGAATATGAATGTCTATCCTAAACTCAATGTACATGTAAAAGGACACTAAGGCCCACTAAACACGTATGTTATTTCCAGACCCAATAAGGATATGAATATCGTTTTTAACCCATTTGCTATTATTTTGTTTATTTTAACTTGATCATTTACAAAGTTGATATAAAAACCCACTTTTTGTAAAAAATAACTTTCTTGGCCCAATAAGCCAAAAATTTACAATTAAGGCCCAATTTTTGTAAAAATAACACTTTAATCTCCAGTTTTGTTAAAAAATTATGTTGATGACTACTTTGTGATAAAAATAACATTTTAAAACCCATTTTTGTCAAAATATCATTTTTGGCTTGATTTTTGTAGAAATACATATTTTTCTGGTTTTGGGCCTTTCCGACCTAGTTTTTGGAAAATTTGTAGAAAAATCATCGTAAGTTGAAATTTTGATCCGTAAATTCTAGAATTTTGGAATTTTTGTCTACTTTGTTCAAAAATTTTCTCATAATTTTTAATGGCTTCTAACCAGTGTTAAATTGCTCACCTTCACAGGCTGGTTTGAAAGTATTTCAAATTTGATAGGTAGTTTTGTAAAATTCACCAAAAATTGTAGAAAAATCGTATGAAAACGTGAGAATAGTCATTTTAAAGTTATAAATTTGAACTTTATCCATGTAAAACAGTTTTGAAAAATACTTCCATTAAGAGGGTCAAAACAGTCCGATATTGGACCAAAACTTTCCTGCCAAGGGCTGTTTCATGAGTTTAATTTATAGATCTTACAACAGAACACTCATTTTTGCTATTTAAAGTGTATAAATCTCAGATCTAGTAGTTTAAATGTATTATATGTGATAAAACATACTTTTCTCAAGGTTATTATGAAGATCCAAGTGATAAACTTCAAGTTCTTAACATATTTTTAGATTAATGAAGAAAATCAACACATAATCACCAAATAATTCATGGAAAACACACATAATCATGCATATACACATAGATCTACACACATCAACTTGTATTCTCCCCCAAAAACAAGTAAAAACCAAAAACAAGTGGGTATGAATTCACCTTTTCTTGGATGTTTCGGTTAAGAAGAAGAATGGAAGAAGATGATGTGATTTTTGGTCCTAGCAAGCTCCTTGGGAGATTTTTGGGCTTGAATGGGTTGTAAGATGCAAGATCACGAAATTCCATGAGTTGAGAGGAGATTTTTGAAGTAATAAGGAAACTAGACCATGGATCTAAGCAAAAACTTACCAAGGATGATGATTTTGGTGAAGAATCCTTTTGAAGCTACACTCAAAAACTCGAAATTTTGGATGAAGAAGGAGGTGATCTAGAGAGGTTTTTGGAGGTGTTTGAAATGAGAATGGAGGTGGGTGGTGGGGGTTTTGGCTGAGATTAATAAGAGAAGAGAGAGACATGGTGAGGTGATGTTTGCATGGAAGACCACCATGCAAACATGAGATGTCCAATGTACAAATTTCCTTATTTTCCCGTTTTTTTTTTTTTTTTTTTTTTTTTTCGTCTAATAAGCTTAATGGATAATGGGTAATGGGCCAAAAATTTGGGATTAAGAGATATGAGGATGAATTGATTTGGCCCATTATTAGTCTTGTTCGAATTTACAAAGTTTAATAATATTTTTCGACACATTGGGCCCTTATTAAGGGTCTCGGCCCAATAAGGTCCATGAGAAAGGTGTGGGTCATTCTAGGCCCATTAAATCCCAAAATACTATATCTTAATGAATGTGAGTTCAAATAGGGCCCAACTTAAGACTCTTAGCTTAAAAGAATTAAGTTAAAGGTTTATTAGCCCATTAGGTCCAATTAAGAATTCATAGTCCATAACAAACTTGAATCGGAATTTTTAGAGTTTCAAACTCTTTATTGAACATGAGAGATGTATTTAAATGAGTATAAAGTATGATATTTGCTTAGAGTACCAAACATTATATTGGTTGAATGATTTTATGAGAGTAGAATTTCCTAGCAGTAATGCTAGTTGTGACAGAATTCATAGAAGAAGAAAGAAGATGTCAAGTGGCTCAAGAATCTCCACAGGTTCAAGGAATCAGAGAGTAGATAAGGACGTCCTCTGTGACTGTGAACTCCCTTCAAGAATTCACACCTCCAAGACCAAAGATAACCCTGGAAAGAAATTTTGAGTGTGCCATAACTCATTGGTAAGTACCTAAATTGATTTTATTTGTCAAATCGAATCAATTTTTGTAACGACCCAAAATTCAAGACCAAAAATTTCTTTTAATAAAACATTACTTAAAGCAAAATCATCAATTCCAAAACATAAACAGAGTATTAATTTCCAAAACACATGTTCATTATCAGAGTAAACATTCCCAGGTTGTCTAATCAATGGTGTGTGTGCCATGCGATTACCCCGAGCTCTTCCCTCTGCTACCGGAAGTACCTGAAACCAAAACTGAAAACCGTAAGCACGAAGCTTAGTGAGTTCCCCACCCTACCACATACCATACATAATCACAAACTGCACATACTGGGCCACGGCCGCAATCTTGGGCCTTGCCCCTTGCCTCGGGCTTCGCCTGCTATAACGACCCTGCCGCTCCAGGCCCTGCTTGGCTTCGAGCCCCGCTCGGATACATATTTATTTCACTTAGGCCTCTCCTGTCACAGGGCCTCGCCCACCAACAACTAATAAAACATAAACATATCTCAGGGCCTCGCCCGCCAACAAATAATAACACATAAACATATCACAACACATAAGCTAAACTCATATGACTGATCCTGTCCTAAGGCCTCGCCTATCCTGGGCCTCGCCCTTGTTCTGCTACTGATGAGTCATGGAACCCCATCCACGCTCCTACTGGTAGTGAGATACAGGCCCATCCCACTCTCACTCTTTCCCTAACTTAGGCCTCACCCCTGTTCTGCTATTAATGAGATGTGGAACCCCATCCACACTCTGCTATTGGTGAGATACGGGACCTCGCCCACACTCACCTCCCTACCAGGCACATACATGTATCACACAGACAACAAGTATAAACTATCATATAAACAAATCCTTGGGCACCTGTCTGCTATTAATGGACCTCGTCCTGAATATCATACTAGCATATTGTGCCTAGGGCTAACCCCAGGCCTTCTACTCATAACTACATGGGTCGGCATTGTGGCCTTAGACCCATTCACACAAAGGGAAACTCACCTGCACTGGCTGAACTTGTTGATGATCTCGCTAGCTGCTGCCCGACAACTCTCTGAACTCCTGCTCCCATTACTCCCCGAACTACCAATATCAAAGCAACACTGAGTCTAACTGACCCCAAGGGACAACCAAGTCAACTCTGGTCAAAGTTAAAGTCCTGGTCAAGGTCAACCTCCCAGGTCAACCCTACTCGTCGAGTCAACCTACTGACTCGCCGAGTTCATATATTTAGAGTCCTTCCTTTCGCGTCTCGACTCGCCGAGTCGGTCACTTACTCCTCGACCCGGATCCCGCTCGGACTCGCCGAGTTTCTCCTTGGACTCACCGAGTCGCCCTTTAAAATTAGGGTTTTTCTTTCCTTCCTTGGCCTTCCAGACTTTGGGTGTTACAATTTTCTTCTTCTTTCCTTCTATGTTGTTGATTTTATTACTATAAAAACCAGGGAAAAAGTGTAAATTTTGGGAATGGATTGATGAAGAACCTGAGAATATGAAGGCCATTGCAGAAGATACTCTTTCAGATTTTGTAGATTATCTTAAACAAGTTTTAGAGGATGTGGCATCTATTAGAGAAGAAGTGAAACAGTTGAAGGTTATTGATTATGCTGATCATTGTTAAGGTTATGTTTTGGGGTTGAAGATATGCTTCTGGTGGTTTTTATGAGATTTTGATGTAATAGACTTGTTGTGTAATTCTTGTTTATGTAATGGATGTTGATGTACTTTATGTTTATGTAATGGTTGTTGATGTACTTTGTGTTTATGTAATGGTAAAGTTTATTGTTATTATATATAGATGTTGATGTAATTAACTCAGTCAAATGGAGGTAAAACCAAGACAAATTACAGGAAAGATTCTTTTATAGAGAATTGGATGTAGAGACAAATAAAAGTGGATGACAAAAGGCATAAAGCCATTTAATAATTACAAAAGATAAGCCCACCAGCAGGGGTAATACAATAATTTAGTTCAAAAGATTCGACAAGTACATCAAAAGTAAACAACTAGTAGGGGTAATATGGTAATTAAGTTCAAAAGATTACCCCACACTACGTCAATATATATATATATATATATATATATATATATATATATATATATAGTTAAGATCAAATAAGAAGGAAATTTTTGGTAGGAATGTAAGAAGTTTTTTTTTCTACATATTTTTTTCGCGAACAAAGAAAATGAATCATTAGATGATTTATTTGTAAAATGATTCACAAAAAAAAATTCTCAAAAAAACATCTCGATGATTCATTTATACAATGATTTCGTTGTTATTCACTAAAATTGTCATAAAATTGAATTTTTTTCTTAATTTACTTAAAAATGAATCATAAAGATGTTTTTTTGAGAATTTTTTCTTGTGAATCATCTTACAAATGAATCATCTAGTGATTCATTTATTTTGTTCGTCAAAAAAATATGTAGAAAAAAACTTCTTACCTTCCTACCAAAAAAATTTTCTTACCGGATCTATATCCTATATATATATATATATATATATATATATATATATATATATATATATATATATATATATATATATATATATATCACAAGCATTACCCCACTACATCAAAACCTAATTACTCTAAGGTCACAAGTTTGTCTTGGCTGCATCCAGTTCCATCCTTGACTTTAACATTTTTTTGAAGACCAATTTCGGTGATTCTTTCTGAAAACTTTCTCACCCTACCAGCATCATTCAAAGGAACCTTCTTCATAGGACTTCTCTTCACATGACCCTTCTTCACAAGAACCTTCTTCACAAGAGCCTTCTTTACATGACTTGGCCCTGCTGTGCTTGAATATGGAGTTGAATGACTTGGACATGCTGTGGTTAGAGTTGGATTTGGCTTACTTGGGCATGTGGCTTTGTTGTGGCCAATTTGGTGGCAAATGGTACATCTTAGAGGAATGTCTGCCCTTGACACAATATGCCTTGTGTGCCCACTTAGCTCTCTTTCTGCCTGATCTCTTTTCCTTTTGACACATAGCCTGCCAGGTAACCTCCTCTTTAATGGAGGCAAAATAGTATGAAGTCCTTCAACATGTGGCCACTCAAAACTGTCATTGAGTGGATGGATGTTATACCCATAGCTACTAAGGAAAAAGGCTTTAGTATAGGAGTTGGATACAAAAGCCTCCACATCTAGGTTCAATGATGAAATTGCTGATATGGCATGTATACATGGAATTCCTGTGAGTTGCTAGCTTCTGCATCCACATGCCCTCTGATTCAAATCAACAACATACCTCTCATTTCCTGAGAACACTTCAAATTCTTTGTAACCACTCACATAAGGTACCCAAAATCTGTCAATATACAAGAAGATAGTCAGTTACCATTATAAAACCTATGTATAAATAATGAAATAGTTACTAACCTTTGCAATTCTTTCAAATCCTCTATTTCCCTTCTGATACTTGGGAATATGTCCAAATCCCAACTCAAACCATTTTGCTTCTGCATCCATAACCTCTGCATTGCCCAACATCTTATGTCCTCCAACATTGTTATCAATGGTTTCCTTATAGCATCAAGTACATCAGAATTGAAACTTTTAGAAACTCCATTCTCTATTGCATCACAATCCATACCCTCTCTAAAAAAAGCCTTTGACCAACACCTTGGATCCCTTTCTATGAGATAGTTATAAGCCCTACTTTCCAAGGACTTAATCTCATTCATTGCTGCTTCAAACTTAGGTACAGTTGTTGCATTCACAGCCCTCCAAAATGGTTTAAAGTATTGTTCTCCTTTAAATTTTTTGTGGAAATTAGCTAGAATGTGTCTAGCACATAATCTATGCTCCACATCAGGAAGTCTTTTTTCACAGCTTCAAATAATCCCTGATTCAAACAATAAAATGATTAGTTAATTAGATGACCAAAACAGTTAAAGTTAATTGAAAATGCTAACTTTTTTGGCATAATGTTCTTTCAAACTTCCCTCAACTTCAGACAATGCTAACTTTTTTGCATTCCTACACTGCCCAACACTCACATTAATGTTGTATCTCTTAGATACCAGTGCTTTCATTTTCCTCAAACTTAGTTTAGGACTCTCCAAAACATCATTCACAAATTGTTTTCCTATCCACTTATATGTTACAATTGAACCAAGTTTGAATGCCCTAAAACACTTGTGCTCTATTATAAGAGACTTAATATGACAAGTGTGTTTCTCTTTCATCTAGGAAGCATACAATCTAAAAGGGCATGTGGGATTCTTTCCTTTACAACACCTAACTAGCAACCTAGTCTTGTCATTCTTTTCATACCACAAATCATAACCATTTGCTACTGCATAGCAACTAAGAGAGTATTTAAGTTCAGCAGTAGCAGAGTATTTCATACCTACTCGAGGCTTCATCTGATTCCATTCTTGAGTATGATCATGTCTTGGGTAGATAAGTCATATTGCATTATGATCTTCTTCAACCAAGTCATCATTCTGTATTGGACAAAGTTTGTTAACGAATGGATCATTGAAATTTCTTTTGAGAGATATAACGTCATTGTCCTTTACATGTTGAGCTTTCAGACCATCTTCTAAAATGGAGTCGACATCATCAATAGAAACCAAATCTTCATCTTCAAGGTCAACTTCTTCCTCCTGAATCTAATCAAACAAAGGTTCATGATGATGATCCACATACACATCTAATCTCTTCTTTTCATTCATATCTTCAAGAAACTTGTTAAAATCGCAGTCACTCTGTAATCCCTCCGAAAACCTCACTTCATGTGGACAGTAATACACATCTATACATCTTCCGTTAGTAAGCTTTTCAAGAAAGGGGATGAAATCATTGAAGTTCATCTTCTTCACAACCGTCTAAGGTACCAAGGCTTTTACTCCATCAAAATAAATCAATGGGGTAGGTGTAAACAGCCCTTGATAGTGTACATCAACGATCGTATCTGCATCTTCTGCCATTGTTGATTGTAATTGTGAATCAAGAACTTTGAGGGATTATCGCACAGGTGAATGGAGGAATGAGTGATTAAATGAGCTCTAATTGTTGTTTTATCCACGTATGATGACACCTATTCAATTCATTTTAAGAAAATAAAATCAAAATTTTATATGATCGGTATACTGGGTATACCAGGTTAAAAGGATTGCACAATTACAAAAAATCGAATATAAGAGCTTAATTTACAAAAAAAAAAAAAAAAAAAAAAGGACTTTCGTTTCAAAAATTAACTTACCCTCTCTCAAGTCATTTCCCCTTGTGGCACGTATTCGTTGATTTTGTGTATCTGCATTTTCCATAAATCCCGATTTTGATTTCATCCCGCCCATCCACTTTCCCTCCGTTTTCCCTATTTCTTCTCCATTCCCAAATTTGTAGCTCCGCTCTTCTTCACTACTTCACGCAGCGCCACCCAAAGCAACTCTGCTTCCGTCGCCACAAAGTTCGCAAACCCAATTTCAATATAACACCGGTACTCGTTTCACCATTGGTTCGAATGATGAATTCTTGTTAGTTTATCGTTTCATTTGGGTTTTTTCTCAGATTTATATGGGTTAGACTGATAATTTCACATAAAGCATTAAAAGTACGATTTGGATTCTACGTTTAGTACCAGATCTTCATTGTTTTTAGTCCGTTTTCGTATAAAGTTCTACTCTTTGCGTTCTGAAAAAGAAAGTTGCAATTTGTTGTCAAAACCTAGAATTACTGTAATGCAAAACTGATACGAATTTATTGCAAAAAGAACACTAACATTTCGCAATTTTTGTATCCTTCAAAAGAACTTAAAATCTTTACTTGTTTTAGTTGGGAGGGGACTTGTTCTTTTATAATCTAAGTTACTCTTTGCTTGAAAATAAATCTCTTTATGCAAACATTGTCAAGAACGATCCACAAATACATATGAATCACCACATAAGTGAAGTCTTAGTGCTCGGATCTTAGAAGAATTCATACTAAATTCGGAAAATGCAAGGCACTAGGGTTTTATTCTATTTTCCATTCTAAGTAGTTGCATATATTTCCAGATTCCTATCTTTGTCTACTTTTGCTTTCCTCACAATCAATGGATCAACAATCAAAAAACGTTGAACAAATTGCCATGTTACCCATGGCTGATAAATCATGCTCAGAGTCTTCAACTCCAATCAAGAAACTCCATATCCAATCAATCAAACATCTTGATGCAAGCTTCATGTCTCCAACACCAGAGAAGACAAATGAGAATCTGAACATTAGGTCCAAAAAAGAACCTGCTAAACTCCCAGATAAGTGAGTCTTTCAATACCCAAATTATGCTTTTAACCATTTTACCAAGTTCAGTATAAACTATAACTGCTAAGCCTTTGTTTCATACCAGATACCAAATCCTTTCAGACCTTTTTAATCGTATGACTACTTCACTGAGGCTCCTCAATCTGCAAAAAAAGTCACCTACTTTCAGTAATATATGTCATCAAGTCGAAAAACTCACAGGAAGGTACTGTTTTTTTTTTCTTTCAGTTTTTATTTTCTACCATATATTAGTCTATATATAATATATATTCATTTTTATTTTCCAGGAAATTCTCGTATACTCATCTTGCAAAGATGAAGTTTGTTCTCCCTGAAGCTATTCAGACTGATAAGATACTTTTACACAATAACAAGACTTTGACTATGGAGCCAGACATTAAAGTCACATTGCTTTTTGATATTGTAGAAGGTCATATTGAACATTCACCTTACATTGCTCTATGCCATACGTTTTCCTCTAGGCTCTTAAAGTTTGTCAATACACATTCAGAGGTAATCTTTTTACATCATTCGGTTCTAAAGTCAACATTTTGAAATAACTTTGACCAAGTTGACTAAATGTATAGGGTTGTGATGTACCCGAAGCTGAACTTCCAGAACCATTTAACCAAAAAGATATCAGATCAAAGTCTTTAAATGTGGATTTATCAGTGGAAAAAGAAAAACTTCCAAATGTTGAAGAATCTGAGCTACTTAATCCTTCTCATTTGGAACCTTCTTTCAGTAGACACTTTACAAAAACAGACAATGAAGATACCACAAGTGAAAAAGAAACTGGTTTTAGTTCATGTTTGGATACAGTTAAAGATGAGAAAATACTTGGAGCTGTTAATGGAAGCACACCAATGAAGCCTCCATTGTTACATAATGGGGTATCTCTTTTAACTCCTGATTTACCAACTCCAAAGAGATCAGTGGCTACTGAAGATAACAAGGTTTGCCAGAAAGTCATGTCAAGTAGTTTATTTACAAAAAGGTCCCTGGATTTCTCAAATCCTGACATTGAAGGTGTAGTTGTGGATGAAAAAAGCAACTCTGTTAGTTTTCCTTCTGGAAAGGTATGATTCCAAGATTAATATCAGTTTTTGACTTTTTGGAGTTAGGGTTACCTACTTTTGCTTATGATAAATCTGATTATTATGTAAGGGTAAAATGGTCATATACAAGATACAACACTTCATATAGACACACACACCATTTGTTCATTACTTCATTTACCCATTCAGCCACTTTATCTTCAATTTATGCAAGTTTATGATATTATGAACATATTTTTTCACTTACAGGTTGAGGAAAAAAGTTGCTTGTCTGAACTTGTTGAGACCATTTACAACATATTCATGTCTGCAAACTCATCTTCAGTTACTAAAAGTGAACTTGTTCACAAAATCTTGATCAATAACTTTGACATCATAGAAAACGGTATGTACAACAGTAAAAATCCTGCATAATTTTGTTCATTTTTCAGAATCATAATTGTAAATTTTTTGTTTTTTATGAACAGGAGAGATTGAAGATCAGATAGATGATGTTGTAAAGAAAGTACCAGATTGGATTAGTAAGAAGGTGACTCCTAGTGGGGATATTTTGTACAAGTGAGTAATCTTTTATATTCAGTGATTTAAATTAATAGTTGTGGGAAAGTCTCATTTTAATGTGGAATTAATGACTTAATGAAGAAACTAATATGATTGTTGTGTTTTATACAGTATCAACAAAGGGTTGGATTTGAAGACTGTTACTGAAAAGCTTATTATGTAACCACAAAATTAAGAACTTGTGGTGAGACAATGATGAGGAAATTTGGTAGTTTTTAGTGTCTGGATGTATTGAGACTTGTTATTGATGGATTTTTTTTTATTTTACTTAAAGTTACTCAGCTTGTGTGCTTGAAAGTCTTAATCTTTTGTGCTAATGATTGATTTTCAAGTTGACTACATGAAATTGAGGCAATTTAGGTCATAATTTATTAAATAACTTCATATAAAACAAATGTTAGTTTAAAAGAAAGTATGTTTGCTCTTTCTTACATAACTAGTATAGTAAATTGAGTATATAAATTATTATAATAATATAAATCATATTTTTTTTAATATAGGAATTGAAAAGAAAAGGTTGTGAACACTTAACACTTTAGTATGACTAAGGCCTTGTTTGGTAGCATCTTAATGCCTTTTTATAAGAGACAAAAAAAGAGCTAGTGTTTGGTAGCCATTTAGTTGTTGTAGTCTACAAGAAGATTGTTTTTTAATGTAGTTAAAATAAATTAAAATTTAAATAAGTTTTAAAAAAGAAAGCTTAAAAGGGTTTTTTAGCATTGAAATTTAAATAGTTTTAGTTTTACAATACTAAAATATAATCAATATAACCGCATTAGCATTTTTTTTAAATCATCTATATTATACTATGCATTAACTGCTCAACAATTGTATCTCGTAATTGGTCAATATGTTCCTGGTGGTCTGTTGTGGTATCATGCCTTTCAACTTCGCCTTCGTCATCATCAACACACATATGGCTATTTCGAAACGATTCATTGAGTTGATTGTATTGAGTAAAGAACTCATCGCCCAACCCTCTTTTCTTATAAAATTATGTAGTGCAAAACATGCAATGATAATGTTCTTCTGTGTGACCAACGAAAATGATGTCATCCTTTTCAATATAGTGAGTCGTGCTTTCAAGACACCATAAACACGCTCAATGATGTCATCCTCATATTAGGATACAGAACCATAAATTCTCGAATGTGTGATACGTGTCATCAGAAAGATAGATAATATTTCTTTGTAAAGATATAAACAATTAATTAAAATTTTAAACTAAGGGGGTGTTTGATATCACCTTTATAAACCTCTCACTCGATCCTGACTCCTCTAACATGCCTCTTACTCGGTTAGATTCAGGGTTGTGTCTGACTCAGTTAAACATTGACTAAATCAAATTTGACTCAATCAGCAACTATCAAACAACAATTAAGATATAAATATTTAACAAACCATAGACATATCTGATGGTGGAAACGAGAATGGTGCATATGGATCTGCTAATGTTTCTGATAATATTCTAGAATCATGTGCTACCCAATGACGAGTCTAGAACGTAAAACCATATAGTTCACTATTTAAATAAAACCAATAAAAAAGGAAAAAACTAAAAGATAGGTTTCAAAAAACTTGATTTATATATGTATTTCATTTGCCAAAAGCATTAAGGTATTTCATTTAAAATATTTAAGGTAGTTCAAAATTTTTATGTATATATATATATATATATATATATATATATATATATATATATATAGGTGGGTCAAGTGACATACATTTCATCTACATAGCCTCGCCACTGCTTTGAGAGTTTATTTTATTTTACTTTATAAAAGTGTAACAACCCAAAAATTCAGATAAAATTTTTCATTTAATAATTAGAAATCTCATTCATATTAGTTTGCCACAATTCCATTACATAACCATATTATTCAAAATATTAGAGTATCCAAAACAACTAATACAGAAATATTGGAGAGTGCACGTTGCGCCATCAAGCCGGACCTTTGCCCTTAGAACCAGAAGTACCCGACACACCCAACAAAACTGTAAGCACATGTTTAGTGAGTTTTCCAAAATATACAATCACATAATCATATAATGTCATGCACATTTACACATAAAACTGCCATGGACTCCCTCTATGGTCTTCAATCGGGATTCCATGGGCTACCTCCATGCTCTTATACCATAGTGCCATAGGCTCCCCCTTATGGTCTTACTAGGTGCCATGGGCTCCCCCATGGTCTTCACCTAAATCAATACACACCAAATAACAAACCATTGCATAATCAATTATAGAGATTTCACATCAAGTAGTGGGCCAACGTTGGTGCTTTCGACCCATTGGTATAATGAGAAGGCTCACCTCAGTCTGCTGAACACAAAAGCTTCTCGACTACTAGCCCAAAACCTCACACTAAACAAAAATACAAATCACCCTAATTAGAATTGAGTCGCAACTTAGACAAAGACCCTATATCTCAATCTAAGGCCCACCATTAAGCCCAAATGTCTAACCTACATTAATGGGCCTAAGATCAAAAGTCCAAACTACAATGGGCCACATGAACCAATAAAGGCCAATCATGGCATCAATTCCCCAAACTAGAACAAAAGTCCAATAACTCTGAATGGGATCAGGCCCAAGGCTGAATAGGGCCCAATAAGCTTGCAAGCCCAACAAAGCCCTACTCTTCTGTGGTATGTAGGCCCAATGTACCACATCATTACACTTAGCCTACTCGATCCTTTGGTCGTACGTGTTGTGTACACAACCTTACTCCCAGCGTACAACCAACCCATGCACAAAAGTCTATCAAGTGCTTAATGCTTAAGATTTCAACGTTTAACTTTAGATTTGAGTCTATTAAGATGTCTTAGGGCATAAAGTTGGCGACTTTATGCCCTTGCATGCCACATGAGTCCCCAATAATTCATTTCTCCCATTAAGACCACTATTGAGACCTTAAACTTATGAATGGTCTCAATACAACCTTCAAGATGGCAACTTTATGCATCAAATATGCTCGAGGAGCTTAGATCTAACAATCATAGTCTCTGCAATTGCTCAACTCACAAAAGAGTGTCTAAAAACAAAAATGGACTTCATAACAAAACCCTAACTCAAACTAGCAAAAGAGATGGCAAGGTTTTGACTTTTTACCTCCAAAAGCTCCGCAAGATGAACTAGATGCAAGATCTAGAAGCTCAATAACATCCAAAGCTTGGTCACCGCCTTCCTATTCTTGAACACCCTTTAAAAAAGTCACCAAACACACCTTTAAGCTCAAAACTCACAAGTTCTTGCAAAAATAGGGCTTAAGGATGAAACTAGGCTATGGAGGTTGATTAGGGTTTGGTCTAAATGTATACGGTTGTTTAAATAGGGTGCAAGTCAAGAAATTAGGGTTTTAACCATCTGTCACGTACGCCACACGTACCTGCTCGTACGCCCAATGTACGAGCCTCAGCCACTCGATGCTCACACACGCGTACGCTAAGCGTACCCAAATGTACGCCCAGTGTACGGAAGGACCATTTTTGCCAAAAATGAAATACCTGAGTGTAAACAATAAAATACCTGAATAGAAATGTTAAAAAAAGTAGGTTATTGTTTTAAAACATTTAGTAGAAACATGAAATATGTTCGTTTGAGAAAAAATATTTCAAATATATTGGTAAAATATGTTCGTTTGAAATATTTCAAATATATTGGTTTTAATGGGCAGAGTTTTGATATAATATTTTGAGCTGTGGGTTAAATATTCTAACTTTTTATATGTTATATGTTATAAATTTATCCCATCAACTATTATCTAATTTTTTATTAAATATTTCAGTTTTTACCTTTATTAGTTATTTTACATATTATATAAAATTATATTTCAAATTTTATATATATATATATATATATATATATATATATATATATATATATATATATATATATATATATATATATGGGTGAGATCCATTGAGAACTCAAAGTTTCCCGAGAACCCGAAAATTAAAGATGGAACGTTAGACCAAAATCAACTCATTAAGAGCATGATCGTAATCTTATCGATCTCATTCAATGTTTAATTTTTCGTGTTATTGGAAATATTAATAAAAAAAATATAAAACCTAACATAATAAATAAAACTTTCGGATTTTTTTAAAAAATAATAATTTTTTATTTAAAAAAACAAATGCATATATATCTTTTTTATTTTTTAGAAAACATGATTTTTTAATTTTTTTTGAGAAAAAGTAATTTTTTTTTTATTAAAACTGCATTTTTTTTCAAAACAGTAAATTAAAAAAAGGGGAATATTTTTTAAAAAACATATATTTTTTTAACCAAAAATATCAATGTTTTAGGTGCATATATGAATATTTTTTCAACTATATATATATATATATATATATATATATATATATATATATATATATATATATATATATATATAGGGAGGGTTCAATTGAGAAAAAAGGTTGAGAATGGGGAAATTATTCTCAGCCAAATATTTATTTTTGCCGCAAAAAGCTCCAACGTACCGGCGGAAATGGGAAACGGATGCACATGTGTTTTCCAACATAACATATTTCTTAAACTATACTAATCATTACCTTAATATATACAAAAACATAGTTTTTTTCGTTTTTTTAAAAAAAATTTATAAGCTATTTTTATCAAAAAATGGTTTTAAATATACAAAAATTCATGATTTTTTATTCTCTACAAATAGACATCTATATTGATATAGTTTTAAGATAATATATACTGATGCATTGTTATTCATTTATGAATAACGATAGCTGAAAATATAAATATATATATATATATATATATATATATATATATATATATATATATATATATATATATATTTTCAGCTATCGTTATTCATAAATGAATAACAATGCATCAGGTTTTATTACAGTACATTCGTTATTCACTTATGAATAAAAAGTATGATTTTTTTTTTAATTTTTTTTTACAATTTAAGTATCATTGATATATGAATATAGCATATAATAAACATAGTATATTGATATTTTAATATTGGACGATGAATTCACTTGTGAATATTAATATAGTATATTCACTTGTGAATATTAGATGGTATATTCACTTATGAGTATTAAATGATATTTCATATGTGAATATTACATAGTATTACATGGTATATCACATGTGAATATTAAAGAGTATATTCACTTGTGAATATTAGATGATATATTCACTTATGAATATTACACAGTATATTCACATATGAATATTACAAGGTATATTCACTTATGAATATTGAAGGTATTTTGACAAATATATATAATTTTTATATGTTATTCACATATGAATAACATACAGACTTGCATATTTG